GTCTTTCTCTTGTTCCGTTCAACTCGTCTGTGTTTTGAAGGAGAAGATAATCCTTTTTTTTCTATTTTAATATGTGTTTACTCATCAGTGGAAAATGTTCGGAGAAATTTGTGTTTTTCTCATAATAACCTTATTGGAGAAATAATTTCTAAGCTGAAATTTTTCTTTAAAATTCAAAACCTTTTTATTTTTTCACGATACTTTTATAAAAATTATGTTTTTATTTTGCCAACTATTGATTGAATTTTTTGGATTCCAAACGTTATGATTTATTGATTATTAGTTAAATTGGATTCACGGAATGTATCTGTTTATTTGCTTTTTTATTGAGATCATGAACTGGTTACAGTTAGACAACCACCGGAAACACTAGGTCTTGGTGTAGTAGGACTCGGTTGTCTAACCTTCTACATCATTGGATCTCGGCCTAGTGTTTTGAAGACTAGGCATGCTCACTTGAGACGAAAGGTCTTGGGTTCGATCCGTGGTAGTAGAGTCATGAATGTACGCTTTCAAGCGGTCCTATACTAGGAAGAAACAGCTGTCCAGTGCTTCCAGGTTTTCAATGGTTGCCTAACTTAAATCGTCTTGTGATCCCAATAGAACTCAATAATCTCTACAACATCCGTATTTATTTTTGTTTGGTTTATTTAACTGCCATCTATTTACTTCATATTTATTCTGGTAGATTTGTTTAATTTATTCAATTAGTATCTTTTGGGAATATCTACTTTTTGATTTATTGTTTTATGTAAAATGAATTTAGATTCGGTTCGTGAATTATTATTCATGATATTTCTATAGTTATTTATCTATTTATTCAACTCATTTGCCAGCTACACCTTTATGTACTTAACCTAAAGCTACACCCTGTGTGAGGGTTTTTATCCTATCCGGTTACCCACACCGAAGTAGGTGGGTAGGGATTAAAACCAACAACTCAGTAGCTGCGAGTCGAACACCCTAATCACTACCGAGCCATAACTTCATTATGAATTTGTTTGGAGTTTGCTAACGAGAAAATATATAATCATCCTTAAAGTTCTATTGTGTGTATTTACTCACAAATTCATCAATGTTTTTGTAATGATTCAGTATTATTGTACTCTTATATGATTCCAAATAGTCTTGGAAATGTAAGTTATGAAATCGATAATTATTAATTCATAGCAATTATGTTAGTTGTTGTGACTCGTCGATTTTAGTCACATCAGTAGTAGTAGTAGTAGTAGTAGTGTGGTGAGTGCTATTCATGCTGACAGATATAAGTAATACGTAGCCGTCATTGGAAATGGAATACCTGGCAGCAGAAGATTAAATGAAAGATAACAGAAAGGAGATTAAAGAGCAATCAGTAATAATTGTATAGGTAAAGGACAACGCAAAGAAGATGTAAGCCACTGTGTAATTTTGCATTATACCATAAATTGGTTTACCCTATAAGTCTTCGTTCGGTGCAGTAGTAGTATTAGTATTACAAAGAAAAAATTAAGAAATAGTAAAACAACTACACCAAGAAATAGACTAAAAATAATCCATTATTATCGTCATAATAATCAAGGAATATATGTTAGTCAAAATATCAACAAAATCTTCCCATTTCCATACGTTTTCAATCTACAGTTCAAAATGAATTATATTCGTTTATTTTCGATAGTTGTTCGGCAAACAAAAGAGGAACTGTACGGAAAACACCAGTTATTATTGAATAAGAACAGTCATATATTATTTGTGTGTATGTATAGCTTGAGATGAAATTCACTATTTGACTTTAATCACAGACTGACATCAGCTGTCAAGCCATTGACAACTGGTGACGATTAATCACGTCAGTTAGTCAGTGATAATCAATGTAGAGGCTGGAAAATAAGCATGCTTACCTGAGCTGCCGTACCGGCTCAACACGATGAAATGAAATTAACAAGGTGATTAGCTTGGACGTCGAAATAAAATAGTAATAATAATGACTCGAAATATTAAACGTTGTGAATATATTTCGGAAGGACTGAATGAAAAGGTCTGTCCGAAGGAATACTGGCAATCAAGATCCAGAGTAAGACAAAAAGTGAGTGGATCTGCTCCATTGTGACAGACTACTAACCATATCTCCCAGTCTTCAATCACTAATAGCGTTTACTGCATAGATTCCAATTAGGAAGTTTACATTTATCAACATAACTCAGACATACAGTCAGTTGTCCTTTGGTTTGTTGGCTATGATGTCACTCTATGGTAGTCACACTCTATCTCAAGTTAACTAAAATTAGAATTGCGGATAATTATGTTTCAACTTAGTTGCTTATCAGTATATTACTGGTTGCCATATTTGTAGTTCCTGTATTCAACTTTTGATGAAATGATAAATCTCAAACGAGATCTAATCTTTCTTTTTTAATAAAATTTTCAGCTTATTTGTCGCTCCATATTTGTAAGAAACTATTCACAAATTGTAGCCTTTTTTTGTAAAATCCTTTTAACTCTTCATGGTACAACTGTTCATATTTTCTTTGTTTAATCCTTTTATTTTTGATTATAGCCCTAGTCTCAGTTTATTTAATGCCTTCAGCCATTAATTTGTTCTTCATTGAACCTTTTATCATTTCCACGAAAAAATAGTCAACAATATTCTCGAATTGTTCAGTCTTCAGATAATTAAAATAACGCATAGTGTCGCTGAATAAGAAACAGAATACAGCGACGACAATTTTCTTTTCAACGAAATCATTTACTCAATTTGTACATTCGTATATATAGTTATATGAAAAATATATGTCTATAGGAGGACACAAAAGATTGCATCATACAAATGGATTCGAGACTAAATAACAAATAAGGGAACGTTCTAATCAAGGGGTAAGGAAGGAAATCGTTTATGGGTCAGATAACAGTCCAATTGACAAATATGAAGAAAAGCGACAAACACAAAGGTCATAATAATAGAATGAATAATAATCAAATATTGGGTTTAGGTAAACCATATGGATTCGAGAGAACTGAACCCGAAGGTTTTAGTATATTAAACTTTTCATTGTTAATGACGTGCATTTTAAGAAGCTTTAATAGATTGGACTTCACTCTGAATTCCAATTTTCTAACATTAATATCAAATGAAGCGTCCTGCAAGAATTTACTCTGATCACCCAGTATAAATAACATTTTTTCTTTATAGTCACATTTATTGATAACGACCACCCGTGAACCTTTGTCAGGTCTGAGAATCACAATATCTGACCTACTGTAGAGGTTTTTTAATGCGGCGAAATGTTTAGAAGTTAAAATACTCCTTTGTCTGATTTGAGAACTGTGAAAGTGGTAGGCAACGTCAACCAATTTTTCCTATCTAGGGTAGTTGGGACAAGAGGGTTCAACTGATCATAGAGATTTTCAAATTGAGTATCTATCGACAGATCAGAAATCTTGGTATGTGCAACGGAGAAATTAAATCCGAGTGATAGGGCTTCCTTCTCAAATACAGAAAGCCTAACATTTAATAAATGTGATACATATTTATCAGGGTTAAATTGAAATGAATTCCCATCATTATCATCCATAAGAGATTTACTCAGCTTTTGTTTGGTAGTATAATTTGTTTTAGCAACCACTGTACTGCAAAAGTTCATGAATTTAATATGACATATATAAGAGAGATATTCGATAATATTCATGATGCCTGAGTATGAAGTTCAATTAGTTTATTTATCATATCATTGCATTTTTCTTTATGAGATTTCGCAAGCCGCAAAAGATTAGAAACATTTGGATGCAACTTATTTGATCGTAAGGATTTATAAAACTGTCTTGGAAATGTGTGTGTAATAATGCAGGTCTTGTAAAACTCCAGTTTTACCTTTTCAGATGCAATTTTGCACTTCAGATTAGCAAGTTCATCTAACCGTTTGATGCAAGACGGAGGGAGTCTTCTTTTCAAGAATTTAAAGCAATTAGTCCCTTTTATAAATTTCGATAGAACAATGAGAAGACGGAGTTTATCTGAAAAATGTGATGTATTTGAGCTATACATTTCGAACAATCTGGTCACACATATACTTGTCAAAACATTTTTATATGAAAATTAATAAAGGTCAATTAAATGAAAGTTCAAGTAAATTAACAAAGGTGAGAGAAAGAATAAGAAATTGTCGCGTTATCCTAGGCCATAGAATGACTTAAGGATTACCAAGGTAAATTCAAGGTTACGACGGTGTAGCTATGGGTAGCCCTTCGGGGCCTCTCTTGGCTGATGTTTTCATGTCATATGTGGAAAATATGACGAGCGAGCTTTTGGAAATTTAAGTATTGTCCCGTCCAAGTTAGTTTCCTATACACTGAATGTCTAATAGTGCCATCATCCCTTCTACTTAAAATGTATGTCTAAAAAGGCCAATTGGTCATTACTTTCTGATTCATATGTCATCACAATATCATCTTGAACAAAATTGAGTTTATCCAATAATCGGTTAACATCAAAATCCTTATCACATAATTAGAATATCGTCCATGTATCTTCTATCTAGAGTTGCCTCACTAATAAGCTCGCTCGTCATATTTTCCACATATGACATGAAAACATCAGCCAAGAGAGGCCCCGAAGGGCTACCCATAGCTACACCGTCGTAACCTTGAATTTACCTTGGTAATCCTTAAGTCATTCTATGGCCTAGGATAACGCGACAATTTCTTATTCTTTCTCTCACCTTTGTTAATTTACTTGAACTTTCATTTAATTGACCTTTATTAATTTTCATATAAAAATGTTTTGACAAGTATATGTGTGACCAGATTGTTCGAAATGTATAGCTCAAATACATCACATTTTTCAGATAAACTCCGTCTTCTCATTGTTCTATCGAAATTTATAAAAGGGACTAATTGCTTTAAATTCTTGAAAAGAAGACTCCCTCCGTCTTGCATCAAACGGTTAGATGAACTTGCTAATCTGAAGTGCAAAATTGCATCTGAAAAGGTAAAACTGGAGTTTTACAAGACCTGCATTATTACACACACATTTCCAAGACAGTTTTATAAATCCTTACGATCAAATAAGTTGCATCCAAATGTTTCTAATCTTTTGCGGCTTGCGAAATCTCATAAAGAAAAATGCAATGATATGATAAATAAACTAATTGAACTTCATACTCAGGCATCATGCGTATTATCGAATCTCTCTTATATGTCATATTAAATTCATGAACTTTTGCAGTACAGTGGTTGCTAAAACAAATTATACTACCAAACAAAAGCTGAGTAAATCTCTTATGGAAGATAATGATGGAAATTCATTTCAATTTAACCCTGATAAATATGTATCACATTTATTAAATGTTAGGCTTTCTGAATTTGAGAAGGAAGCCCTATCACTCGGATTTAATTTCTCCGTTGCACATACCAAGATTTCTGATCTGTCGATAGATACTCAATTTGAAAATCTCTATGATCAGTTGAACCCTCTTGTCCCAACTACCCTAGATAGGAAAAATTGGTTGACGTTGCCTACCACTTTCACAGTTCTCAAATCAGACAAAGGAGTATTTTAACTTCTAAACATTTCGCCGCATTAAAAAACCTCTACAGTAGGTCAGATATTGTGATTCTCAGACCTGACAAAGGTTCACGGGTGGTCGTTATCAATAAATGTGACTATAAAGAAAAAATGTTATTTATACTGGGTGATCAGAGTAAATTCTTGCAGGACGCTTCATTTGATATTAATGTTAGAAAATTGGAATTCAGAGTGAAGTCCAATCTATTAAAGCTTCTTAAAATGCACGTCATAAACAATGGAGAGTATAATATAAAAAAAGTGCAGAAAAACATGCAAGAAAAATCAACCAGAATGATATCCATTAAGGGAATTAGGGCCAAGGAGGGATGAGAGGTTGGACGAATCGTTTCTGTACGCAAAGTTCAGGTTTGAGTTCGTGAAATGCCAATGCCTCAGCAGTGTATAGAATATTGATTCGACACCCCTTCGATCTAGGTCCTTTGACTCAGTCGATTAAAGGAATAATCTTTCGGAGCGATTTGTCCACAATTGATTGAATTCTGGTGTATAGAATTAGTGATTATCTTACATTCTCCTTTTAAAAGCCAAGTCGCATAGTGTTCTGTAGTGCGTTTGGAAAGTGATCGCATTGTACGGCCTATGTATTGTGCCCCACATGAGCACTTACATTTATAAATAAACATAGATGTGGCCCAAAGCGAATGTTTATCATTAACACAATCAGGAATGGTTGGACAGCTTGAGAAAACATTTCGGACCTTGCCTGTGTAGAAAGTTTTATTCAATTATTTTGAAATCCGTTTGTTTAGGATTTCATCAGTCGTGTCTCTTTTTAATTCCAGATTCATAAACAGTGTTTTCTTCTGTACTGTCGAAAGTTTTTCATGGTGAAGTCTAGGTGTTAAGTTGCTATCGACGAATCTAGGTGGATAACCGTTTCTGATGCGAGTTTGTCGAAGATGAGATAGTTCCCCAACTGTTGCGTCGGTGGAACAGATTCGCTTGATCGTAGATGATAAAGAGTGAATTAAATTCCTCTTTCTATTCAGTGGGACCCAACTATGGAAGTTATTGTATTGTCCATTCCAATTAGGTTTTCTATATATAGATATCTGTAAGAAACCGTTTGACATTCTTTTTAATCGGACATCAAAAAAATGAAATTCGTTGTTTGCCTCTGCTTCTAAGGTAAATTGAATTGAGGGGTGACAATTATTGAAACTATTCAAAATTTCATTTAGGTCCATGTCTTCTTCACAAATAATGAAAGTATCATCCATATATCTCTTATATAAATGAAATCTCTCAATTATCGCACGAAGTAGAGAATTTTCCAGATTGGCCATGAAACAATCAGTCAAAAGAGAATCCAATGGAGAACCCATTGAAACTCCATCTTTTTGTCTTTAGAAATCATAATTAAATCTAAATTGCACGTTGAGCGTACATCGTAGAAGTAGTTCTTTTAAATACTGTTTTAAGATACACATATCAAGTTTAAGTAAATAATTTCATCGAAAAGAAAATTCTCTTCACTGAACTCTATTTTTCTTATTCCATATTCACAATCTATATCTTAACTAATAGAATTATCATTATTCCTTTCAAATCAATTATTTACATGAACAGTTTCCATGTTGTATGTAATTTAGAAAATAGTTAATAATTTACTTTTCTACCCTTCAATTTATTTTGTTTTGTATGGTAAAATGTTAAGTCATGAAATTTTCAAATGATCATCCATATACGTGTAGATTTTATTCAATAAATTTCATTATAAAACTTTATCATGTGTTTATGATAATAGAAAAAAAAAGAAGTTTTGCAGTAACGATAATAGTAATAGAATTGTACAGATACATACAATATTTTTCTTCTTTTCTTTTGTATCATCCTATTTCGAATAATAAAAGTGTATTACCCTTAGTCCATAGGATAGAAAATTGTCCGTTTTCTAGATTATCACTTTATTTATTTATCGTTATTATTATTATTATTATTATTATCGTCGTCATCATCATTTCTACCAAGTTTTCTTTTCGAATTTCATTGAACTATCACGCTTTTTGGGTTTTAATTAGGATCATGAACCGATCAATGTTAGGTCAGTAATGAAAACCTGGAAACATTGAATGGCTGTTTCGTCCTAACATAGGACTCCTTGGTAGTGGCTTGTAGAGTCCAGTCTGTGTTGATTATGAGACAGTTATCCAACCCAGACAATAGATGAAAGGTTGCCCAAGACCATGGATCAACCGAAGTTAGATATTAACACCGTTGGATGCCGGCTCGGTGGTCTAGATTTTAACCGTTTACATGTGAAACCAAAGGTCTTGGGTTCGAGTCCCATATGCGGGATTGTGGATGCGCAATGCTGACAAGTCTCATACTAGAACGAAACGGCCGTTAAACAGTGCTTCCAGGTTTTCAATGGTGGTCTAGCTTAAATTGACTCATGAATTCAACCATGAAAATTACTCAAGTCTCCACAAATTCCAATTATGATAATAACCCCAGTGTTGATGTACATATTGAGATACAAACTCGATATTCATTGTTTCAAACATCAACTTGTTATCCACTGATTTATTGAGTTCCAACATAACCATTAATTGTTTGCAGTTGATGGCTTAGGTTGTAATGAATTATTATTTCTAAATGTATAAAAATGTCACAAAATTGTCCTTTAAACTGAATTTCATTTATCATGGCAGGAATATAATTCATAGACGAACCGATCTGGTTTAAGATAGCAAGTATTTGATTCTGGCGTGAAATTCATGCATCAATATGGCTAAATAACATTTTAACATTATAACTGATGTCAGTTCGTGATTAAAACTCTAACTTTACTTCTTGACCCTAATGTCCAACTGTAAATCTTAATCCTGATTTCTCACAATACTTTTTAAGCCTAGTTTAACCCTAGTAAGTAGGTCGACATTCTCAATATCACTTAAGCATCTCTCAAATGTTGTCCACAAGTTTTACCCTTATTACCACCAGTATAGATGGATAAGTGTTACAATATTTCAGAAGAATAGCATGTATGTATAACCCGACCGTTGTTGCTACCTTGACGTGGTGGTCAAGCTTGCCTATCGTGATGAAGCAACCGAGCTATACTGGCTGGAACATTCATTCCTCAAGGTCCTACCATGTCAGACAGGTTGGTTGATGAGCGGTAAGACTAAAAGCAACAAACCTAAGGTTCGAAGGTGAAGTCGTACTGCTGACTGTACAGAGGTGTGACAACAGTAAGGTGTTTCCTTCAGACAACCAGCATGACAGCGATGCTGCCTTCCCACAAGGAGGGGTGGGGTTAGAAAAAGTCGACCCTAAAGATGCACACCCCGCCTTATCCCACGGATATCCGTCTCCGGCGGTAAGGCCCTTTGAAGAACGGAGCTAACACAAAAATTACCCATAAAAAGGTCGTGTGTGACCGACCTCAAGCAGTTGTACCTTGGGCACTGCGGTCACGCTCTCCGGTCACTAAGACCACCTCTAATCCAATTTCCTTTTCAGGTACCTCCAAAAGAACCCTTTCACGGTGTGGGCAACCGGGAAGTGATAACCGCCCTCATACCTCTAACAGCACTCAAGACCTGACTGACTGTATGTATAAAGGTTTAAAATTGAGTTAGAATGTGCATGTATCTGCCCTCTCCAGTATTGGGATTGATTCTAAATAAGACGTTATTCAATCATTGTTTTTAATCGTATGTTCATTACAATTGGAGAGTTTCTCATCTTAGATTCAACTTTAATTCAACAATTATTAACTACATTCAAGTATGTCAATAGATTCATAGTTCAGTTCATTTCGAAGCGGATAACTGAACTCACAGAACTACCGCCTATTTTTTTGTCAATGATCATAAATTTACTAACCGGTAATATCTCAAACTGTAAAGTTAAATATCACCTGTTTGAGTCCTACAATAGATATCAATTCTCGCAAAATTACAAGTACACTTTACTAACAAATGTAAAACAGCAAAAAACACTAGGTTCAGGATTTCTTGTCCATTACCTCCAACTATCTAACATTAAAACTGTTCCAAGTCATTTAGATAAATTACAAATTATTCGATAGAATTCAACCAGTACTAAGGGTCTAGACAAACAAAGCAATAAACACTACTTAGTTATTGATCCGTAGAAGTATTTTTCATGCGTTGTGAACAAATGTCAGCTATTAAACTAATGCTTAATATATGATACGCAATAAACTGACTGGGTCAGTAGTTAACACCTAATCGTTAAATCGAGTTGTTTGTGACGTAATATTTATAAACATTGAAGAGAAAAAAATCATTTCATTTCGAGCATAAACAATTGTAGACTACGAGTTACGCTAATACGCTAATAAACTTAATGATCTAATTATTGGTGCTAATCAATTGAATTTTTCATTAAATATTCACATTATTATTATTATTATCGTTAAACTGTCAATTATTGGTTTTTATTTGTATATTATTTAGTCTAATATTATGATTGTTATTTTCTTTCCCAAAATAAATTTCTTCATTTTATCTACTGAATTATTTACGTAAATCTAACAATGATGATGATTGTTGGCGATGATGATGATGGTTAATGATGATTGTCGTCAATATACGGATGAATAGTATACGAAAAGTATGAAGATATTATAATGGCTATCAAGATTTCTCCCGCTTCATATCCTTTTCATGTGATTTTTGATAATAAAGTGTTGATGTTATTATAATTATTTTCTTTGTGTTTTGTTTGTTTGTGTATGATTGACTAGCTGGTTATATTGTAAACATTTTTCAAAGCAATAGATTTAGAAAAAGTGTTATTTAAAATCAGTTTATATTCTTGGAATATATTTCATCTTGTTTCGAACTTGTTAGTCTAGTGTAACTCCATTTTCGTGTTGATACTTACATTGTGATTCGCGAATCCTTTACCTAAACACATCAAACATCAATGCCTTATCCATTAAGCCAATGAGTTCAAATCAATATTAATTGGAGGGGTTTCCATTGCATACTCTCATAA